GTTTGTTTCCCCATGTGCTCGGGTGTTTCTCAGCTACTTATATTTCTCCATCCCCGAAGCACAGTAACAAGGGCTGTTGGTAGCATCCTCTCCAGGGCCTATTCTTTTCCAGTTTCTCTCGTTCTTCCTTTCTCTGCTGAACTTCAAGGAATAACCTTATTGCAGGCCTATTTGGAATTAAGCCCTCTGGGGGTTCAGTGGGGCTTACTCCTAAGCAAGTGGCTATAGAATTGCACTTCAAATGTTGGAAGTTCTTGCCAGATTTGGTCCACTCCAGGGAAATACAGGCTTAGTGCGGGGGAAAAGTGAAATAGTTCTACTGTGTATAAGTGTTACTTGATCACACACTTCTTTAAAAAGCAAGGTATTCTATGAAATATGGGCCCACATTAGTGTCTGTTGTGTTAACTAGAGATCATATGTGCTCAGTGAACTTACAGTATTCTGCTTTAGCAATTCTAATCCTTTGAAATGGAAATTGTACTATGTATTTTTTTAAAAAAAACATTTCATGCATCACTTAACTTGTGTACTTGTGCATGATCAAATTAAAGAAAATAGCCCACACAAACTGCTCTCAGTTGCATTGCTGAAAACCCAGAACATGGTTTGTCAAGTCCTCAGCTGGAATGAATGTGTCATACACTACATGTCTGTAGCCATAGGCCCAAGAGTATCCCCCAAGCTAGCTGATCTCAATGAGGGCTACAATTGATAAATCACATTAAAAATCCTGAAGCTATTCAAATACTTTAAGGCCATTATAAACATTTTCAAGCAGTTTAGCCATTCATGGAAGTGAAACCGCAGCATATTGAAGGATGCAAAATTATACCATTTACCTAGGTGCCAAATGCTCTGTAGGATAAACAAACCTCTGAAGGGAGAGCATCCCATCACCAAAATGCTACAGCCAAGAAAACCTTCCCAGGAACTCAACTTAGTATACTGTGCTCAGTAGTGGGACACAGAGGAGCCTCCCTTCAGCAGATCTTCATGAGCAGGCAGGAATGTATGAGAAAAAAGCACTTTCTATAATATCTGGACCTGAAATAATCCAGGGCTTTGAAAGTCATTATCAGTTCCTTGATCTCAGACTGGAAATATATAGGCAGGCAGCACAAGTCTTTTATAGACAGTGTCATATGGCTTCTGTAAAGAGTTTCTGCCAGCAGGCTGCCTTGCTGCAGCATCTGCACTGTCTCCAAGGGCAATCCCAGGTACAGTGTATTGCAATAGTCTAATTCAGAGTTGTCAGTTGATGATCTATTGTGACCAGATTATCCCCGTTCAGGAATGACTGACTCTGTTCCCTTCACTGGCATTCTACAACAAGAGTTTCCTCCCCAGGCTCTGCTTTGAACCCGAATCTCATGGGTGGACCTTCCAGAAAAAGGCAGGTAGATCCCACAAGCTCAAAGTCTGTGTACTTCTGCCATGCACAATGGAAAAATCTCAAGCATGCTTCCAGCAGAATATTTTCTGAGTTAAGACTGGGGCAGAATATCTGTAACTTTATGAGATGTTCCAGCCACTGCCACAGCCTAGACTGGAAAAATCTCAAGCATGCTTCCAGCAGAATATTTTCTGAGTTAAGACTGGGGCAGAATATCTGTAACTTTATGAGATGTTCCAGCCACTGATTGCCACAGCCTAGAAAATTCCTTCTTTGGACCAGAACTCATGGTATCCCCCAGCCAGCATGGCCGCTGTATAAAAGCCACAATTCTGCTGCTTACCTCAGACTCCATTTGAGTCATTCTGTCCCCAGCTGCACTAAAGCAAACAAATCCCTGCCGCGTCTGCAGATTAATGACTTTCAGGGCTTCCTGTTGAAGGAGTTCGGCTTGTATCTCAGAAGGCGCACTCCTTCTCATGGTAAAGGAAAAACTGTTGCTTCCAGAGCTTCCTAGAATGTGAATTGCCACTTGATGTTATTTGTCCCTGAAGTCTGTTATTATGTCTACTAAACCATATTTTGTGTGTGTGTGTGGGGGGGGGGGAATGTGCTGCTTCAGAACATATCCTTATAGGCACTTTCACCCAGAAGAAGTTTATTCGGCAGCAAAGAGAAACTTTTTTCCTCTACAGCCAGACCGGGGAACCTCCAGATGTCACTGGTGCCTGCTTATTATCAGTTCCAGCCAGCCAGATGAATGGTGGGGGATAATGGGAGGAGAAGTTCATCAACCTCTAGAGTGTCATGGATTCCCTGCCCCTGGCTGTACTGTTCTAACTTTTGAGGGCATGATAATGGGCCTTATAAAATAATAAGAACTGGATTTTATGAGGAGCATTGCATGAACCATAAATGTTGTGAGTTGAGTAGAAATATTTTGATTCAGAGGATTGAGTTTTACAGAGACATGAACCTCCATTCTACCAAATTTATTGCTGTAGCTGTTCTTTCAGCTTCAAACCAGAAATTGTCATCAATGATAGTTAATTAATCATGTGCCATGAAGGCAGAACTGCTCTATAGCAGCCCTAACAGGACTTTCAAGGTGAGATATTTAAGGAGTATTTTTATCAGTTCCACATGACTAGCGAGTTTTCACAACTGTGTGGGAATTCATGTACAGTATATACATATATGTTTAAGATGAAAGGTAAGACTATCCACTATTGACTTATATACCGTTTAAGATGAAAGGTAAGACTATCCACTGTTGACTTATATACCTCAAAGCCAGGAAACCGGATTCTAAGCATTAACAAAAAAATGGCTTGGGACCATGTACAGTATCACAAATTGTGCTTGTTTGCACCTAAATTCGTTGCACCCATACTTTGTCTTGGTCTTCAAGCTGCATAGTGTCTGGGACCAGTAAAGATACCACATCTTCTGGACCAGTCTTGTCCTTTAAGGCAGCTGAGCCAGGTAACTCCTATAAAATTTAAGAGAGCATAAAAGTTTCAGGAACTTTTGAACTGCTGCTCAGCACTACATCAAATGGATACTTTCACCAATACTTGTTATGCAATAACTTACTGGAAAGTGGAGAAACAGGTATCAGTGTAAACCAAAAGAAGAATAAAGAAAACAAAAACGTCGTGGCACCTTAAAGGTGAACTGCTATATTTAAGCCTGAGGAAGTTGGCTTGTCCATGAAATCTCATATTAAAATATTGCAGTTAAGGTGCCACAATGTTTGTGTTTATTTTTTATTTTTATTTTGGTTTTTTCCCCCAATATACTAGCATAGACTAACACAGCTTCTAAAACTACAGATATTGGTGTGTTTATTCCCAGCACTTATTTATTTATTATTTGTTTGTTTGTTTATTTGTTTGTTTATTTGTTTGTTTGTTTGTTTGTTTATTTATTTATTTATTTATTTATTTATTTATTTATTTATTTATTTATTTAATATCCCACCTATCTGATCGGGTCAGGACCACTCTAGGCGGCTTAATTTGCTATATCTCTGACTATACTGGATCAATTAGAATTTTGGCACATTTGTGTACCTAACTCAAGTATCATGGATGCCAAGTTTCAGATCCATGAAAATTTAGAGGCTTACAATCATGGAACTTTTTCTTTTCTCCTTTCCCTGTTTATCTTAATTAACTACTGCTCTTGAACACCACTAGTATATTTCGTCAGAAGGAAGCACTGCAGACTGACAGCACCATCTGATTTCAGCAGTTTCTCAGCCCATAGAATATTGTAGGGATCACATGGACTGTGGCTTAAGATAGAATCAATGTAAATGACAGCCTGTCTTATTCTGGTGGCTTCCATACATTTTGACTAGGACTCTTTATTGCGCCTAATCTTCTTGATTAATGGTAATCAATAATGGGACTTCTAGTCCATAACATCTAAATTGTTCCAGGCTAAGGAAGCCTGATATAGAAAATGGTGGGATATGCAAGAAATGACTGAATGAAAAAGGGAATAATTTCAGGTTAGGCTACAGTGATTCCATCTTCCAGGTTCTTACACTGTGTTGGACTGTCGTTCCCACTGTTCTAAACAGCATGATGTATGCCCTGGGATGGCAGGAGTTTTAGTTCATTGGCATCTGTGAATGTAAAAATGGGAACTACCAAGTAAAGATCAAAGTTAGAGAGCTGTTTTGTTCAGTGTGCAGGACATATCTGAGTGGTCTCAGAGTTTGAAAAATTTACTGTTTTGATCGCAGTTCCTCAGCTATTGGGAAGGAACCCCAAGGCAATTCTGGAATGGAAGGAAGGAATTTTTTTTCCTTGTCCAGGCTCTGGGTTATTTATTTTATTTTATTTTTTTAAATTATCCTGCCAATCTATTGGCTAGGCCACTACTCCAGCTATCCTGGTTAGCTATCCTGTAGGCAGGCATTAGGAAGGCAGACCACATCTTGGCTTCCTGATAGAACAAGATGACTTTAAAAAGAATCATGATGAATCCATTCAAACATCAATCTAGTTCTGTATTCTGCTTCCCACAATAGCCAGCAAGCATGGGCAGGGCTTGAGACAACAGCCTTCTCTCCACAATTGCCACCAACTTAGAGTGTGGAAGTGTTCCTTTTTTGAACTATATCCCCTATAATCCACTAGCCAGCAAGATCAGCAGCCATACTGACTAGTGGATTCTGGGAGATGGAGTCTTTTAAAAAAAGGACTCTCAGAAGTAAGTGGTATTCAAGACCTTACATTTCTGAATGTAGAAGTTCCCTACAACCATCATAGGGACTAACCACTTATTTGTCACCTTTGTATTTTACTTATTGTGAACTAACAGTTAAAGGATATGTATGCCTGCTCATATTTTTGAAAAATCCATAATGTTTGAGTTGTCCTGATTGACTTTGACATGAAAGTCAACCGTTTTTAAAAAGTCTTCTTTGACTCATTCATATCAAAGGGGAAAGGCGGCTGAGTAGGAGGAAAGTAGCTCCATTTAGATCAACATTGGACTTTATTTTACAAAGGAAACTGAAAAGTTATTCACATCCTGGCCCACCAAGAGGCCCAGGCAATGCCCTTCTTGCTTCATCCTCACCGTTAGTGCTTCCTGCATGAATTATCTCTGCTTTCCTGTTGGCAGGAACTGAATTCCAACTGGTACAAAGACTCAGGACAGGATATAAACAGGAAACGTCATCCAGATGACGCCATGGGCCTCCCACCTCTGGGTGAGCAGGGTTCCTGTGCTCTGCTGCAATGGTGTCCTTTTCAGACAGGTTGAACCTGGATGGCAAAATGAATGCCTGGAAGCAAGCGATGTTTCAAATGAGTAACTATGATCTGGTCGGCAAGGCCAGTGAATCATTCTTCTCAAGAACAACAAGCCTAGATTCTGATTTATTATTATTATTTTTTGGACTACTGAAAACAAAAGAAAGCCACTGTGTAGATCCAAAGGAACAAACAAAAGACAAACCCATAGACACAGTCTAGTTTCCATTTGAGGACTCAGTTTAACTGCAGATTAGATGTGCACCGTTTATAAAATCCTCTAATTTTCTAAGTGCTGTAACAGCTCTCTTTTCAAAGTTGATTTCTAGTACAGTACATTTCCCCACAGAGATCCAGAAGTCTTTCCTCTTTGCTTAATGTAATGATTTGCTTTGACTTTAATATTAATACACCCAAATCCTACTGAATATAAGCTGCCCAGAGACCTTTGGGTAGGGTGGGCGGCATATAAGTTAAATAAATAATATTTATACATGCACACGAGGAACTGTAGAAGTTGTCATGGTTAATTGTAGCTAACTGACATGACGTCAGAAGTGTGGTAAGTGTACAATTGGATGCACAGATTTGTGCATAGTACCTCATCTATCTGCTATGACAACTTCTGCAGTTCTTCTTGCTTATGGATAAATATCCAATAGGTTGGATATTGCCATTTATCATTAAGCAGTAGTCTATATTTTCATAATTCCACATTTAGCTTTTTCAGACTGCTATGTAAGTTTCATTTAAAAAGGACACACTTTTCATTCGCTCCTACAGGAATGTTATGTCACATACATGGGGAAAATGATAAATGGATAGCCTATTGCCAGATGGCAGTCTTATATACACCTGGGAGTAACACACTTCAAGTTTGTGTAATAAACCTAAGTAGACATGTATGAGATTGCACTGTTAAAGATTTAATAAAATGACTCATTTTAATAGATGTTCAAAATCAAGTTTCTCTCATTTTATATTGTGTCCCATTGCATGTTTTGTTGCTCAGATCCACTATTCTAGTTGCCTTGAGAGTGGAAAGAGGGATCAACACAAACTTGAATTTCCCACAGATTTTAATATACAAATAATAACCTTATTCTGTCAATCCTGGAGGAAATGTAGTACACATTTTAATGAGGCAGGGGAATAAAGTTGATTGCCCTCCATTCCAAGATTCCCTTAACCTATGACTCTGGGAAACTGAAAAATAATCTGTACTACTTGTCAGCCAAATATTTTCTTTATCCTGCAGTTTCAGTTCGATACACCTGGAAATCCTGAGGTGCATGAATGACAATGCAAAGTTAATCTGTTCTATCGGCTTAATTTTGTCATTGAAATTGGTAGAAATGTAAGTATTCTCTAGACTGATGAAATATATGTGGGCGTAGATTAGATGTCCTTCTGAATCAGTGCCATAAAAACATGTCCATATCCATAGTGCTCCATTTGGGGCATACCCTCCCTTTGGATGCCCAAATTTTGTGGTCTTTGAATAAAGTACAACGAGTTTGGTGATACATTCATTGGTCTACAAAAATACCACTGAAATAGTGAGCTTTCAAGTCCTCAGAGACTCTTGATCAGGATGCGCATTACAAAGTAGTGCTTAGCTTGATGAAGAGATCTGGAAGACATGACAGCTCAGCTTCTTCAAAACGATGTTTATGGGGTTCAAGAAAAGTATTGCACCATCCAAATGTATATGTTAAATGTATCATTGCATATAATGGACATCTTTAAAAAAAAGATCAAGGATCAACTAGAAAGTAGGATCCAATTAGTAGGATCAAAACAGACTTTGACCCTGTCCTTCTATGCAGCAGTGCTGATCAAAATTGCTCCTCTGATTCTTCTATTTGCATTGGAAAGAAATCCTCACTGGCACCACTGTATATTTTTAACATGCCAGAGTCACACAGTAGCTGAAATCTAGTACAGTGGTGCCTCGCAAGACGAATTTAATTCGTTCCATGGTTAATGTTGTCTTGCGAAAAATTTGTCTTGCGAAATGCGTTTTCCCATAGGAATGCATGAAATTTAATTAATGAGTCCTATGGGCAAAAAAAATCGGAACAAAGTCAAATTTGGTTTACAAAGGGTTTATTAAGTGCTCTTTAAAGCTTTGCGTATTGTGCAGATGATTTAAAAAATTTCAATCAAAAAACTTTAATCATTTAAGCATCATAGAAAAACATTTAAAAATCAGCAAACATGAGGCAGGAACAAAAAACAGAAAACATTCTTCTTGTGAAGCACGGCCATAGGAACATTTGTCTTGCGAGTCATCAACCCCATTGCCAAAACCATTTGTCTTGCAAGTTTTTTGTCCTGCGAGGCACCACTGTACTAAGTTGCACTTCAGAAGGCCCATTGAATCAGTGTGGATTTGGTGAGTCAGCACCAATGTAAGTTCCATTGATTACATGGGCCCCGACTACCTGCAACTAATCAACTAATTACTTCACCATTGGCTGGGATTTTCTAACACATATCCTAACCCCAACCCCACCCCTGTGCTGACTATAAATGTAAAATGTAACAGGCAAGGTAATTCTCAGAAACTGAAACAGTCATAATCTTTGGGAGAGCTCAAGTTTCACAACACAAGACACACTATTATTTTCAGAGATCATATTTGCCTGCAAGAGGAAGGATGACAGCTGAATCATACCCTTCCCAATGGTTTTCTAAAACCTGTTCAGTGGGTCTCTTGGTTACTGCAGACAATGCAACAAAAAAGGCAAGCAACCACAGATTCTTGGCTCAAATAAGGCTCTTTTAACTTTTTACCTTGGCTTTTGGGAATGTAGTGTGCTGTCTTGTACAAGTAAAATGCCAATGGTCCATTTAGAACAGGCAGTCTTCTAAATGTTGACAGGCAGTGGTTCAAGTCTATTCCAGCCCTGCTAGGAGATGGAGGGGATTACTTTTAGGTTGGTTGTATATGCTCTACCTTCTTATGCTCAGTTGTAGTGGAACCAAGGACTGCATGGGTGGAACATCAGTTGTTTATCAGGGATGTTGCTGTCACTTTTCACATCTTTAGGCTTCCCAATTCCTAAGCTTAGCTGTAAGAGTCCCAATAAATGGATTGGGATGGGAATGAATTGTTCTACAAGCAATATATAGTGGTCAGCTATCATTCTTCTTATTCAAATGCCTGTATCCTCTTGTGTTACAGAAGGGGGGCGACTAAACGACTAAACACACAAACACATCATTCTTCTTATTCAAATGCCAGTATCCTCTTGTGTTACAGAAGGGGGACCATGTAAACCTTCCCCTCCTTCCAGCTATAGCAGTATACACAGAGATGGGGAAATTTGCTTTTTTGGGGGGGGGGGAGTAAAACTGCTAGAATCCTACAGCCAATATAGGACTGCACATACTGGCAAGAAAAGTCAGGTTTGTAGACAAGAAGAATAACTTTTCCCATCTCTAGGCATATCTTTGGATACTTTTAACTTCAATGCCAGATAAATCTTTGAAATATTGGAGATGATGAGCTCAGCTGACTTCACAACTGTGTTGTGAATACTGTAGTGTACTGTGTTACAGTACTGTACTGTGTTACAATCCTTTGTACAGCCCGAAAGTAAGGGGCAAACAATCACAAGCAAGCCATTTCACCTCCGTTGCACGATGCACAGTTTCGAACAGCCCAGTGTTTCCTTGCTCATTTGTGTGGGTGGGTGTCTCAATGAGATCTCTGTAAGCTGTAACTCAACCATGTGTGCCTCTGATAAAATGATTAAGCTTGTCTTTGCTGACATAACAGCTTCGGGGAATGGGGGTAAAACAAGCTCCTCTGAGGCATTAGATACAATTAAGGATCTTGTAATTAGCCTTAATGTACTATTCAAGAGAGGTGACATAAAAGGCTCATGCACCATGTGCCCTGAGGGCAGTTCAGGCGAATTTATTTATTAGTAGAAATGTCTATACAGACTTCTGACTGTTAAGCAAACAAGTCTGAACTTCAGCAGGTTGGCAGGGATAGCCTTAGGGTAATAAAAACTTTAAATAGAGCCGTGTTTTAAAGATAAATTACATTAATTTAGCACAACTTCTCGTAGGCTATTTATTGTCTGCTGGAACCTGACTCTTGAAATTTGCCTCCACACAAATTGGCAGTTTATGAACAAGGTTATGTGCTGTACTATGCCATGGCTCTTAATATAGGCCTGCAGGAGTCTAAAGGAAAGTATGTGGCTATCTGGAATGGTTCTAGATTGAGCACCTGACATTTTAGGAGAAATATTGACCACCAGGCTGAACTTTGCCTCTTTCCTTCATGCTGGTCAGCTGGCTTGATGAGTCACCATCTGGAGTATTTTGAACTCCTAGCCACTTAGAGTCCTGCTACTGATGAAATCCAAAACAGCCAATTGCTACAGAAGAGGACTGGTGAGCCTAATGTTCCTACACACCTGGATTAAGGTCCACTCTGGAAGTTATTTTATTTCTTTAAATCGAAGCAGGTCCTGTAGCTGAAAGCCAGGAAATCCTTTCAGGGCTACATACTAGATTTATTTTTTTATTATTTATTTGGCTTTTACCCCACCCAAACAAATCTATTCTGGGCGGCTTACAGTCTGAGCAATATAAAACAAGAATTAAAACAGACAATATCCAAACAAAAAAGAAAAATAAGCGAAGTCCAAGATGGGAAAACACAGGGATAGGCTTAAACAGCTAAAACGAAGTACAGTGCAGAAGATAGGGTGCAATTGTTAGTGTCCACTCACCAACTTACCTCATACAAAGGGAAGGTTAACAGTACTCAGGAACAATCCATCAATCAATTCTCGTGAAAGTCTTCGGGAATACAAATCCATCAATCCTTTTCTCATGCCCTATGGTTAGACTTCAGCAAACCTTCATGAAAAGCCAGGCCAGAGGGGGGCACTGGGAAGTCTACAGCTGGACTATGTATCAAGGTGTCCACACCCTCTGCCTTAACAAGAGAGGGGACTCCATGCCTGAACACAACACAGCCTGTACACTCCTTGATTGGGTGCCAGAAAAATAGAAATCAGTAGATTTATGGACAGAGGTGTTTGAACTCTGCATCCCTCTCTCTTTCTTTAACAATTCTTCTCTCAGAAGAGTTAGAGCTTACTCTGCTTGTATTATGCCTGCATACTTAAGTGTGTGAGAAATATTCTATATTCCCCCCCCAAGCATTTTACAAAGAGTCATTAAATCTGCCGATTTAACCTAGAACATCTCACTTGTGGTTTTTCTGCCTCCAAATGGCATACTGTTAATTTTTAAATGGCCTTATTTATTGGCAAACTTGGACAATGGAGGGGGAGAGCAGTTCAGGAAGGAAGAGGAACCCCTTACAGAAAAAGTCCCCACAGTCTGTCTCTCTTTCGTTGCGTTCTCTCTCTTCCTCGCTCCGCCAAGGCAGATTTGCCAGGAGGTACTTGCAGGTGTTCACCATTACCTAAAAAACAATTTGCCATTCTTAATTGTGGTGTGTACGCAGATGTATCCGTGAACTGGACATGCCCCTCAGGGTATTACAAAGACGGGTTGATGAGCTGTACTCATGAATCACAAAGTGTGCTGTTGGGGAGGAGGGGAAATTAAGAAGGTTTTCAGGAGAACACAATAAAAAACAACAACAACAGCCACATAGTGGAAGCTGTTCAGAAATGTTTGCACAGAACACACTTAATCCCATTTGAAGGAAGATACAGAAAGGCCAGCCAAGAATAAAAAATAGAGTTTAGAAAGTTACTTCTCAGAAAAAGGGATATAACCTGCTGAAGCTTATCCATAACTGAGCTATGGTGTATTGGTGCTCGGAAATGACAAACATTGCTCTTTTATAGCCCAGATACAGATGGCATCAGCAGGTCACTATATGACTTCTTAAAATAACTTTATGAGTTCTGAAAATAAGATACAGGCTAGTAAATTACGAGCTGTATCCCCGTTGCTAATCTCAACTAGAGGAGGCCCAGTGGCATCAGTCATCAAAAAAAGCACAATTCCCATTACAAAGGAACATGATGATTGCAACTATCATAATTATGGGTTGGAATCAGAGTTAACAATGCTTAGAGCAGATCTGCTGAAATCAATGGAAACTGTCAGCTATGGCTGAATCCAACTTAATTTTTATAGAGCTAGACTGAACCATCAGATTTTGCATGACATTTTACAAAAAAGAACAAGTGTTCCCCAGGAGAACATACAATCTAAATATAGACAGAAGTAAAGAAGGTGTGGTCCTTGGGATGCTGAACTACATTTTCCATCACCCACTCCAGTGGCTTTGCTGATAGGGACTAATGGGAGTTGTAGTCAACAACATCTGGAAGGGACCATGTTCCCCATTTCCGATTTTGATGGGAAAGGAAAACAAAAAGGAATATGAATTGATAGGAGACATATAGGATATAGGAAGCTGTCAGACAAGTGCTTTATCTAGTTTATCTTCAGACTATGGATCTGTTTTACATCGTAACTACCACTGGCCATGTTGGCTAGTGGATTGTAAGAGCTGTACTTTGAAAAAGCAACTTTTTCTAACTCAATAGCATTTATACCTGCCTTCCCTAATTGAAAAAGAGAGTTGTAATATTTCCATCAGGGATACAGAACCTTTGGTTCTCCTGATGTTTTGCACTTTCCCTCTCAGAAACTCAAGGCAGAACGGTCAAAAGGTAAGGAGCTGTGGGAGTTGTAGTTCAAAACAGCTGGAGGGTCAAAAGTTCTCCACACTTGATCTCAGCTGTGTGGGGCAAAGTTTGAGACCTAAAAGACCAGTATATGGATGAAATCATTTAAAACTTGCCCACTGCCATAGATAGGCCTCCTCTGACTAATTTCTGACATAATGCTAAATATACGCTCTCTCATCCATCTTTATCGCATACATATACTATATGATGTATACATGGTAGCACCTGCTCAAGTTCCTTTACTACAGAATTATATTAAACACATCTGGCCACCCCATAATTCCACTTTCATATAATTTCTATAACTTTACGAGGGAGGATGAAGGTGGAAATGACTGTGTTCCTGATTTAGTGATCCACTGATTAAAGTTCTATAATTAATGAACCAGAAAACCAACACTATTAATCCTTCTACTTTAATATATTCTCTCCTCTCCTTGCCTTGGCATTTTGAATCATGAAGACTAGTTTTTAAATGAGCCATAATAAGTATTTTGAACCCACTTACTTATCCCCCCCACTGCCTAACACCTATTTCCCCCATTTTCAAAACGTGGGCCTCCTCCTTACGTGAGGAGAATGACGAGATACAAGGAACTGCTTCCTGATGGCAGGAAAATCCAGGCTGTGTCTCTTTGGCTTCATGGCTGCTTCCTTTTTTGACGCAGCAGGGACCTGGGGCTGTAGTTTGTTCCAGGCAGGAAACAGGTGGGATAAATAATGTTTTAAAGTGAAGTTTCCCTTGAAGAATGGGCTGTGTGTTTCCCTCACACTTGTTATTAACTTCTTAGGTAATGGCTAAAACCCCCAGCAGGTGCTTTAGAGAGGATATTTAATTTTCATCCTCAAGAGATTAACCTGTTTCTTTTCCTTTGGCACTCTGAAAATAAATCCAAATAAGAATTACAGGGGAAGGGGGTCTCAAAAACAGTCCAAAGGAGCACTGGTCTTAACAACAAGCAAATCGGTGTGTTTATCTTCTGAGATGCCTGCTGTTGACAAAAAAAGAAGATTTTACAAAGAAAACAAATCCATGAATTACTAGACGTTAGCTCTACTTAAAGCTTGGAAATACAATTTTGAACCTGGATGATTCTCAGTCCCCTTAGCTCTCTGTGGGATTTTTTGCCTTTTTCCTTCCCTTCCCTCCCTTCCTCATGGATTTCCAAGCCAGCAAAATGTCCTTCGTTCCTTCCCACAAAATATAGTGTAGAATTCCTTAGATACTGTGGAGGAATTGAAGCTATTCTTCAGAGGTCCCATTGTCAGCATTACTTGCTAGCTTCAGAGTCTTGCAGTAATTAACACATCCATGTGAAAATGACAGGTATAACAGCCTGAAAAAGACAAGAACAGCCAACAGATGCGAAAACCCTACCCAGGATAATACTTCAGGCACAGACAGTGCAGATTTGCCAATTATCATTTTGCAAAGGAAATCGGCCATGCTGGCTCAGGAATTCTGGAATTTGTAGACGAAAAAGTAACTTTTCCAAACTCTGGTTCTACTCAGTGTAGAATGCATATTTTCTAGTCACCATGCAAAAGGAACAGTGGCTCTATGAAAGAAAAGGAAAAGACAGCTTTGCCCAGCTTCAACAGGTTTCACTTACCTCACACTAAAAATATTACTGAACGTTAGAGAAACACCAGTGAAAGAAATTTTCTCACTGTCTCAAAAACAAATCCTTAGGAGTCTGATGCAACTAAAGGATTTTTGACAGTTTCACCAGCTTTTGCAGGCTAACTGCAGAAAAGGAGGGAGGCAAAGTTAACTTTGCCCACTGCCACCTTAAAATACCTGAGTACTGCAATGAAATGTAGCCTTGTGGATTATTCCAGACTCTCCATTTCATTCCCTCCACCCGATAATCAATAAACCATGACCACTATGCATGTTCTGTCTTTACTGCTTTCACCCCTAAAGTTTTGATTTTGCAAGTCTCAGATTGTGTCCATGTCTCCTTGTGCTGGTACAGCTTTAGCATTTGGAGAATTGCAATAGTATCTACATTACCAAAGATGACTGTGTGCTCCTCTATGCATGAGTGGGGAAATATTTGGAGAATTGCAATAGTATCTACATTAGATGACTGTGTGCTCCTCTAGGCATGAGTGGGGAAACTGACATGACTTTCACCTACCAGAGTCCAGAAGAAACGAACAAAACCCATCACAAGCATCTGGATTCCATGAAAAGCTTTGCCGGTTTTGCTATTTCTCCTTCTCAACTCCACCCAAGCAACCATAGCTGCAGAGAAAAGGCTGCTTCTGGTGCTGCCTTCCATTTTGTATACTACTACTACTACTACTACTACTACTACTACTACTACTACTACTACTACTACTACTACTACTACTACTACTACTACTACTACTACTACTACTACTACTGATTTATGCTGACTCCTTTTCAGGGTTTTCCAGGTACAGAATACTTTAGAATACTCAGAAATGGTTTACTATTCCTTCTTCTGGGGCATCCTGGTACCCTGCAGCTTAACCAAGGCCACACAGGCTGGCTCTTTTGGGATGCACAGTGGGGAACTGAACTCCCGACTTCTGGCTCCACAGCAAGATTCCTTAACCACTATCCAATTTCACTACTGCCTTAAGTTTTATTTTAATTGCATCAGAAGGGTGCAGTTAAATAATGTTGAATGGATGGATGATGTTGGCAGCTGTCAAAGAGGGTTGAAAATTTAGAGTTTTCCAGGGTGCCCTCAAAGAAGGGAATGGTAAACTACTTCTGAGCACTCACTCTTAGCAAGCCCTGTAAAGGGCCGCAATAAGTCAGAATTCATCTAAGGGCACACATTTATTAGTAGTGCTATTATCATTATTATTCATCTCTAGAATATTTTAAAGTGGGCTGAATAGCTCAGTGAGTTAGGTATCTGGCTGTGGATGCTGAGGGTTTGATCCCTCACTGTGCCTCCCAAGAGGAGAGGCATCCTTATGACTGCATCCTTCTTTTTGTCATGACTTTGTATGGTTATGGTTATGGTATGGTGGTGGTGTACATAGGACTGTATCAGGTTAAGGGAGACAGGACAGGCAGACCCCTCTCCCAGGTTGAGGATCTTGCTATGAAGACCACCAGTGGGTTGCTCATCTCACAGCAAATGGCAGAAGGTTTGGATTTCATGCCTTATGCTATGCCAAAATGCTTTCTCTGTAACCATGTGGCCATCACTTCATCTATCTTTCAAGAAATCTGGTGTGTTGTGTCCTTTGTTCAGAGATTCAGGAGGCTGCAGATCTGAGGATGCCATCTGGACCCCCAATGTGTTATAGCTGTAACTTAGTTTTGAATCCTCACAACTGGTTTTATATGACACATATACACCCTCCCTAGTTTGTTGGAATGCAAACCCCAGTCTTACTGGCCAGCTCAATTGTGGGCTGTGCTGATTGAGGGTGATGGGAATTGTACTCCAGGATAGCTGGAGAGCAAGTGCAGAAGGCAGTGTGCGCACAGAGAGGGATGGAGAATTTTGATCATAGTCTTATCAGGTACCAAATCATATTCACCTGAACCCAGAATTGTCCAGGCAGCACCTGACAGGCACAAGGTGATCCTGTGCATGGTTACTAAGAAGCCCTGCCAAGTTAAGAATGCCCCAATCCCAATATGAATCCCTGGGATCACCATCAGAGTCACTTGTGCAGCTGTGTTCCTTCTCCTCCCTTCCATAAGATGCTGCTATTGAAGAAAAAGTCAGATGAGCAGGTTCTGCGGAGAAAGCCAGTGACCCTCCCTCTCACTTTTAGCTTAATGGCTTTGCTCCCCTCACTTTAAAACATTTTTTGAATCATGTGAATGAACTAAAATAGCCAAATTCCCCTCCACCTTTGCCTTGGTAGAAAACTAAAGGCCTTCTTTTTTAAAAAAAAAGCAAGCCAATGAGTGTATTTTGGCATGGAGCCAGCAGGCGCGAAGGCGAGCTGAATGTTGCCCTTCATTTCTTTCATTTAGCTGCATTGAAACGTGTGTATAATGTAATGTCTCGGGCAATTTACGGGAAGGACAGTAGATGCACACATTTTGCCTTGGATGTGAATAGAGGGTCAGAAGTGCACGCAAAAACAAGAATGCATTGTTAACAGACAAATGTTTGCTTCTCTCCATTGACAGAAAACCAATGTTGCCGCTGGCTGCCTCCAACAGCATTACACAGCATAATGTCCGTTCCTAGAGGAGGGGTCTGGTGAGCAGCACACTCTGTGTGAGGAAGCAGGTGCTGTGAATTCCGGGACAGATGTTACCTATTTCCTGCCTCAGCCCATTTCCATACGAATGTTAACACTGATACTTCTGTGTGTTCCTGGTAGGAGGGAAGGCAGCTGCCCCGAATGGGGGCACAGCATTCGCTACCAAGGTGATGTGGGCAAAGGAGCACACAAAAGTATCCCGTCACAGTCGAAGGGAGATGGGCAACTGGAGTGCCCCTCCTGCGTGACAATACATCTCTGTATCTTCTGAAGAAAGCTCCAGGATTTTGTTCTTAAAATGTCCCAGTCCACAATTCCTGAACTATTACACAGATAGAGAAGCAGTTATTTTTTCAGCTCTATTTATTTGGGCAAGTACATTTATTCATTATTACTAAGATATGGAGGCAGTGACAGATTTTACTTTCTTGGGCTCCATGATCACTGCAGATGGAGACAGCAGCCACGAAATTAAAAGACGCCTGCTTCTTGGGAGGAAAGCAATGACAAACCTTGACAGCATCTTAAAAAGCAGAGACATCACCTTGCCAACAAAAGTCCGAATAGTCAAAGCTATGGTTTTTCCTGTAGTGTTGTATGGAAGTGAGAGTTGGACCATAAAGAAAGCTGACCGCCGAAGAATTGATGCCTTTGAATTGTGGTGCTGGAGGAGACTCTTGAGAATCCCCTGGACTGCAAGGAGAACAAACCTATCAATTCTAAAGGAAATCAACCCCGAGTGCTCATTGGAAGGACAGATCCTGAAGCTGAGGCTCCAATACTTTGGCCATTTCATGAGAAGAGAAGACTCCTTGGAAAAGGCCTTGATGTTGGGAAAGTGTGAAGGCAAGAGGAGAAGGGAACGCCAGAGGACAAGATGGATGGATAGTGTCATTGAAGCAACCAACATTAATTTGACACAACTCCGGGAGGCAGTGGAAGATAGGAGGGCCTGGCGTGCTCGTTTCCATGAGGTCACGTAGAGTCGGACACGACTAAATGACTAAACAACGACGAATTTGCTACCCTTCAATCCCACCTTACATCCAGCAAACTTCAGGTGGCATAAACCATTCTTCTTCCCCTGTTTTTCTTCACAAGAACCCTGTGAGGTTGTCTAGGCTTCTCGGAATCATAGAATAGCGGAGTGGGAAGGGGCCTATAAGGCTATCAACTTCAACCCCCTGCTCAGTGCAGGAATCAAAATCGAAATATATCTGACAGAGGGCTGTGTAATTTTCTCTTGGATAATGTATTTGCGAAGGCTTTCACGGCCGGGATCTGATGGTTGTTGTGGGTTTTTCGGGTTCTTTGGCCATGTTCTGAAGGTTGTTCTTCCTAACATTTCGCCAGTCTCTGTGGCCGGCATCTTCAGAGGACAGCACTGTGCTTCAGAGGACAACACAGAGTGCTGTCCTCTGAATATGCCGGCCACAGAGACTGGCAAAACATTAGGAA